TATAATACGTGTTAATTGACATCAACAGTCAACACATTATATATGTTATATATATTATATATGTATTCTTATAATAAAGTAAACTAAAGAAAATGTTATTAAGAAATAGAAAATCGGAACGATCCAAGATGGCCGATCGCTAACAACCCAGGATTGCAGCTCTCAGGGAAGGCGCGGAGAACTAGAGGACGCTACACTTTCAGACAAATTCTGGTCGCTCACGGAGCAGAAGATCCCCCAGTGGAGGAAACACACGGGTGGCCAGCGCAACTCTCGTGGCCGGCGCAGCGGTTCCGCCGGCACCTCGGCACGGCAGCTCTCGGAGCAGAGTAAACAGGTTCGGAGGACCCGCACAGGCCCCCAGCACGACACCAGAGCCCGGTGCAGCGGCTGTGACGGCACCTTGGCGTGGCAGCGCTCGGCGCAGAGTAAATGGGACCGGTTCCCCTTCTGACTGAGGTTTGGAGCCCCAGGAAGGCAGAGTCGCCTACTACAGACACAAGAAGGAAGCCAGACAGGAGAATCCTGGGCAGAAAAGCACCATCAGTTTTAACACCGCTGCTCTGGCCCTGGGAACTAACAACCTGGACATCCACTCAAGAGACCTAATCTGAAAGTTGGTAATTTCAAAGACGACAGGAGGATAAATTTACAATGACAGGAAGAAACCAGCGTAAAAAAGCTGAGAATACTCAAAGTCAGAACGCCTCTCCCTCTAAAGATGATCACAGTTCCACATCAACAATGGAACAAGGCTTGATGGAGAATGAGCGCATCCTGATGACAGAATCACTCTTCAAGGAATGGATAATTACAAACTTTGGTGAGTTTAAAGAACATGTTGTAGCCCAACGTAAAGAAACTAGGAACTTTGAAAAAAAGTTTGATGAAATCCTATTGAGAATAGACAACTTAGAGAGGAGTATGAGTGAAATAATGGAACTGAAGAATACAATACAGGAACTCCGAGAAGTATGCACAGGTTTAAACACTCGAATTGTTCAAGCAGAAGAAGGGATATCAGAGGTCAAAGTCCAACTTAATGAAATAAAACGTGAAGAAAAGATTAGAGAAAAAAGGATAAAAAGGAATGAGCAAAGTCTCCAAGAAATGTGGGACTATGTGAAAAGACCAAATTTACGTTTGATAGGTGTACCTGAATGCGACAGAGAGAATGAATCCAAGCTGGAAAATACCCTTCAGGATATTATTCAGGAAAATTTTCCTAAACTAGCAAAGCAGGTCAACATTCAACCCCAGGTAATACAGCGAACACCACAAAGATATTCCTCAAGAAGAGCAACCCCAAGGCACATAATCGTTAGATTCATCAGGGTTGAAACGAAGGAGAAAATACTAAGGGCAGCCAGAGAGAGAGGCCGGGTTACCCACAAAGGCAAGCCTATCAGACTTACAGCAGATCTCTCAGCAGAAACTCTACAAGCCAGAAGAGAGTGGGGGCCAATATTCAACATCCTCAAAGAACAGAACCTTCAGCCCAGAATTTCATATCCAGCCAAACTAAGCTTCACAACTGAAGGAAAAATAAAATCTTTTATGAACAAGCAAGAACTCAGAGATTTTATTACCACCAGGCCTGCTTTACAAGAGCTTCTGAAAGAAGCATTACACACAGAAAGAAACAACCAGTATTAGCCTTTCTAAAAATACACCAAAAAGTAAAGAGCACCAACATAAAGAAGAATTTACACCAACGAATGGATAAAACAGCCAGTCAACATCAAATGACAGTAACCCTAAATTTAAATTGACTAAATCCCCCAATCAAAAGACACAGCCAAAACCCAATGGCATGTTACATCCAGACCTGTTTCACATGCAAGGATACACAAAGACTCAAAACAAAGGGATGGAGAAAGATGTACCAACCAAATGGAGAGTAAAAATAAATAATAAATAAATAAAAAGCAGGAGTTGCAATTCTCATATCGGATAAAATAGATTTTAAAGCAGCAAAGATAGAGTGGTAAAAGGATCAGTGCAACAACAAGAGCTAATGATCCTAACACCCAGATACGAGGCTCAGATTCAATGAGACAGAAAATTAATAAGGATATCAAGGACTTGAACTCAGATCCGGAACAAGTAAGCTTAATAAATATTTATAGAGCTCCCCACTTCAAATACACAAAATATACATTCTTGTCAATACCACATCACACCTACCCATAAGTTTAAATGAAACATTGATTGGCCATTATTAATACCCAATTTTTTTTAAAATAAAGCAATATTTCCATTTACTCTCCCTCTTTCTCTTCCTCTTTCTTCCTCTCCTTTACTTATTTTTTTTTTCTTTCCTTCTCTCAAAAGAAAAGAAAGCAACATGTAAACCTCTAGATCCAGGTCGGCAATGTCTCTCATTGCTTGATTTCCTTCCTTCCCTTCCCTCCTCCCTCCCTCCCTCCCCGCTTCCTCCCTTCCTTCCTCCCTACCGTCCTTCTTCCCGCCCTTCCTGCCTTCCTCCCCCCCCCAAAAAAAAAAAAAAGAAAAAGAAATAGAAAATCATAAGGAATAGGCCAGGCATGGTAGATCTCCTCTGTAATAATCCCAGCACTTTGGGAGGCTCAGCTGGGCAGATTACCTGAGATCAGGAGTTCGGGACCAGCCTGACCAACATGGCAAAACCTGTCTGTACTAAAAACACAAAAGTTAGCCAGGCATGGTGTTGCATGCCTGTAATCCCGGCTACTTGGGAGGCCAAGGCAAGAGAACTGCTTGAACCTGGGAGATAGAGGTTGCAGTGAGCCAAGATCACGCCATTACACTCCAGCCTGGGCCACAGAGTGAGACTCCGTCTCAAAAAAAAGGAAAGAAAGAAAATCATAAGGAATAGAAAATATATTTATTCATTATCCTCATCATCTTCATGTTGAGTAGGCTAAGGAAGAGAAAGAAGAGGGTTTGGTCTTGCTATCTCAGGGCTTGCAGAGGCAGAAGAAAATCTGTGTGTAAGTGGACCCACACAGTTCAAAGCTGTAGGGTTTCTGGAGTGTTTCTTTCCAATCTTTCATTTCTTCTGTTTATTTCTCTTGTATTACTGTATTGACTAGAACTGATAATATCAAAATCATCTGCAAATGATGACTTGATTTTTGTTTTTCACTTCTCTTTCTGTCCTTTTGGCCAGAACCTTCTGCATAATGTTGAATAAAAGCAGTGATAGCAAGTACCCTTGTCCTACTCCTGATTTTAAGGACATATATTTGCTGTAGGTTTTTATAGTTGCCCTTTATAAATTTAAGTACTCTTTCTGAGTCTTAGTTTGCCAAAGATTTTTAATAACTCAGAGGATGTTGAATTTTACCAAATGTTTTCTTTGCATATATTTTCCCCATAATTGTGTGTGTGTGTGCGTGTGTGTATTTTTTTTTTTTTTTTGAGACAGAGTCTCACTCTGTCACCCAGGCTGAAGGGCACTGGCACAGTCTTGGCTCACTGCAACCTCTGCCTCCCGGGTTCAAGTGATTGTCATGCTTCAGTCTCCTGAGTAGCTGGGATTATAGGCATGCACCACTCCTGGCTAATTTTTGTATTTTTAGTAGAGAACAGGGTTTCACCATATTAGACAGGCTAGTCTCAAACTCCTTACCTCAGGTGATCTGCTCACCTCAGCCTCCCAAAGTGCTGGGATTACAGGCATGAGCCACCGTGTCTGGCCATCCATAATTATATTCTTTTTCTTTAATTTGTTCATGAGAGTTCCATTAATTTTTGCTTTGTTTCTGTGCTAAAGTAGCCTTATCTTCCTGAGTGCCAGCAGCCACTCCAGCTAAGGCCTTGGGAGAACAGTGTTTGAGGGCTCAGGGTTCCTCTTTAAACAGCAATTCCTAAAGTAGGCTAGGTTCCAGCAAGGTAAGGGAGATTTTGTGTGAACTATATAATTCCCTATTTCACATATACCAGTCATGGTCACTGTGTCCAAGCTGAGGGTACAGTCTGCTAGGATGTTGCAGAGTGTGGTATGTAAAAGTGAGACTGCACATTGTTGGTACACACAGCGTTTCCCAATTTCTAGATGCAGCTCATGACTTGTGTACGTGAGGGAAAAGAAGGCAACACATACAACCAAGGCCACATCTGGCATGGATGAGCAGAAACCACAAAGGCCTGGGCAGGCTCATAAAGAGTCAACACTCACTTCCTTAAGTATTCCAAACCATGCTCTCCACCTTTGTTATTTAGGAGCAAACACTTGGCCTCAAAGGCCTATGATGCCCCTGGCAGGAGCCCAGGAATTCTGCCTCAGGTGGCTCGTCCAAGTGGATTATATAATGGCAGTTCACACAGGGAACAGCACTCAGGTCTCTGAAACAAAGCTTTCCATTTCTTGTAAACCCATAGGGACTAGCTCCCTTGAAAGGAGGTAGCCAGAAGTGTCTTATAGATATCCTAGGGCAAAATTTAGTAATTGCACTTCAGGTTACCTGTTTGGACTTGTCACCTCTTTTTTTTTTTTTTGAGATGGAGTTTCGCTCTTGTTACCCAGGCTGGAGTGCAATGGCGCGATCTCGGCTCACCGCAACCTCCGCCTCCTGGGTTCAGGCAATTCTCCTGCCTCAGCCTCCTGAGTAGCTGGGATTACAGGCATGTGCCACCGTGCCCAGCTGATTTTTTTGTATTTTTAGTAGAGATGGAGTTTCACCATGTTGACCAGGATGGTCTCGATCTCTTGACCTCGTGATCCACCCGCCTCGGCCTCGCAAAGTGCTGGGATTACAGGCGTGAGCCACCACACCCGGCTGGGCTTGTCACTTCAATCTTCTACTGCTGATGACATTTCTTAAGGTTAGACTTATTTTTGTACCTCAACCCAATCAGACATCCAGGTCTAGATTTTCTCCCTACCAAGTGCCAGTGAAAATGAGAGGCTGTGGAACCTTGAAACCTAAACACCATGTGAAGCCTGGCATCTTCAGTAGGTGCTTGGAACAAACTAAATGCTTAATAAATCACCTTTGCCTTCTTTTTCCAAACAGATCCCAAATCAGCAAAGTGGAACTCTTTAGATCATTCCAGAAGCTGCTAAACAGAATTGCAAGGGACAAGTGGCCAGACTCCCTCAGGTGATGCTATTGACCTATGTTTTTTCATATTTAGGAAGACTTTTGTTTCGATTCTGGCTTATGAATCAAAGCTTTGGCAGGAGTGGTGGTTCAGCAAGCCAGTGGGCACTTACTGTTGACTACATGTTCTTCTTTCTCCATGGCCCTGTTTGCAGTTACATGCACCATCTGAGATGCAGAGGATGGGTAGCTGGGTGGTAGAGAGTTATAAAAAACTAAGGATAGAATTGGGGCTTGGCCATTCCAGGCCCTCCTTTGATTCCACCTCTAAATGGAGATCACTGTGAAAATGTGAGTGATCTAAAAGCTATATATTCTGTTACAAGTGTTACTCTTCTCTTTTCCTTTTGAATTTGCAGCTCTATGATTTAAATTGCTCTTCAAACAGGAATGTAGAAAACTCTAAAATAGGTGGGTGCACTGTCCTTCTGACAGTTGACTACCTTAGGTAGGTACAGTTACACAGGTGAAGGACACAGTTCCCACATAACTGCCTTCATTTCAGACACCTGCCGCAAGTTAAGGAGCACCCCAAACCACCCATACTTCTGACCAACTGGCTACAAATTTAAGTGTCTCCACTCCCCTTCATGTTCAGTTATTCACTAGAATGTCTCTCAGAACTCAGAAAAGCACTATAGTTGCAATCATAGTTTTATTATGAAAGAGACAGATCAGTACTGGCCCAAAGGAGAGAGAGATAGGGTGAGATATGTGAGGGTCCCAAAGGCAAAGCTTCCATGTCCTCAGGACACATCACCTTCCCAGCACATTGCTGTCCATCACCAACCAGGAATGTCACTCATATATCAATATCCAAAGTTTTTCTTGGAGTTTCATTAGCTATTTTGATTTATTGAATTATTGGCCACATGATGTGATTGAACTTAATCTGCAACTCCCTCCTCTTCCAAGAGGTCAAACTGATATCAGGTGTCTCTGTGCTCCAATTATTTACATGGTTGGTCTTTCCTGCATGGTGAGTATCATCCTGAAACTATCTCACGGGACCATCATGAGTCACATGGTTAAACATAAACTCACAAAAGGTCAGAGATCCATCATGAATGACAAAGACACTTCCAGTTCTTTGAACAGTTCCAGGAATTCCAAAGTTTAGAGGCTCCCAGGAAGTGGTGACAAAGACCAACCCAATCCTTCATTATATGTCAGTGGGAAAGCTAAGGTGTAGCTAGAAACTTCCATATGAAGAGGCTGGCCACTTGTCATCACCATCCCGCATACTGAAGTGATGCATCTGTGGTCAGTTGGCTTCTTTCTTTTCTGGAAAAATGAACCAAGCTGGAACTGAGTGGGTTTCTGTATAGTATCTATGTGTCAAACAAGTCTGGATTTAGGTAAGGAGAGACTTTATTGTTTTGTTTTTTGTTGTTGTTATTGTTGTTTGTTTTTGAGACAAAATTTCACTCTTGTTGCCCAGACTGGAGTGCAGTGGCGTAACCTCAGCCCACTGCAACCTCCGCCTCCTGGGTTCAAGTGATTCTCTTGCCTTAGCCTCCGGAGTAGTTGGGATCACAGGCACACACCACCACACCCAGCTAATTTTTTGTATTTTTAGTAGAGACAAGGTTTCACCATGTTGGCCAGGCTGGTCTTGAACTCTAGACCTCAGGTGACCTGCCTGCCTCAGCCTCCCAAAGTGCTGGGGTTACAGGCATTGGCCACTGCTCCTGGCCTTTTTTTTTTTTTTTTTTTTTTTTGAGATGGAGTAGCTAACGCGATTAAGGGACTTCATTGCATGTGAACAAGGGCCTGGTTTGCAGTAGGGTTTTGATAACTGGTAGTTACTTTTTTTTTTCTTGTTTTGAGATGGAGTCTTGCTCTGTTGCCAGGCTGAAATGCAATGGCACAGTCTTAGCTCACAGGAAACTCCACTTCAAGTGATTCTCCTGCCTCAGCCTCCCAAGTAGCTGGGACTACAGGTACCTACTACCATGCCTGGCTATTTTGTATTTTTAGTAGACTCGGGGTTTTACAATGTTGGCCAGGCTGGTCTTGAATCCTAACCTAAGGTGATCCACCCGCCTCGGCCCCCCAAGGTGCTGGAATTACAGGCGTGAGCCACTGTGCCTGACCTAGAAAACTTAAACCAAAAAAGTAGACAGTTATTTTTGTTTTATCTGATTCCACCAGAACCATACAAACCTAGAATTCTGTTCATTCTCAACTGTTTTTATTTCATGTTGCTTTCTCATGAATTTCCTACAGAGGAGACAGAGTTGCTCTAGAAAAGTGTCAAAGTCAAAATAAAGATGTAAAGACAAATCCCTAAATTCAGTGTTTTATTTGGAATACAAGAACTGCAATTTAGAGCATACACACAGACTTGGTGGTCTTCAGTGTGTCTGAAGAACAAAGAGAAGGTTAGAGGTTTTATTTTTCAAAAAAGAAATGTAACGTATTGTTCAAGAAAGTTGACTGGCATGATTAAGTGTTGAGGAGCTGCCAAGTGACAGCTTTGGGTGAAACTGTTCGTAAAGTCTGCAGCAGGCTGGTTGAGTAGCTGTTAAGATAAAACTGGCAGGCAGTTTGAGCAGCCAGCCTTGCAGAGAGTGCATTCTTGGAGCAATGTTATGCGCACTGAGTGCTTTTTACTACCCCTGGCTTCTCAGCTCTGTTTTAGTTGGGTATGACAAGAATAACATACTTTGTATGATAACTTTCACAAAAGCATACTGAACTCCTTCTGTTCCTAAGTCTCTCATTACAAGTCTGTCCAGTTGCTTGCTCAGGTGTCTGGTGGCTCCAGGGTGAGCTGTTCAGTGAGAACCTGTGTATCTGGTGGCATGTGTGCATTAGGGTGCAGAAGCTGGATACCTACCAGGAGTACAAGGAGGCTGCATCCTCTTACCAGGAAGCCTGGGGCACTCTCCGGAAGCAGGCATTTGGATCCTGGATCAGAAACCCACCGGATTATCACCAGTTCAAGTGAGAAGGAAATGTTTGCTCTGGTAGCAGGACCCTTCATTCTGAACTGCCTTCCTCCACGCAGGACAAGTGTTAGCATTTTTGGTAGCTAAATCAGGGAACATTCTGAGCAGTGCATCTCTGTTGTGTAATACAGATGGAATCTGAAACTTAGAGCAGGCTATACTTGATTGACGTAGCTCTCTGCTAAAATGGCATCTCACTAATGACCTTGCTATCTGACTTCCATTGTGTTTTATTGCTTCTCTAAAATATGAAATCAGTTTGGAGCATGATGCTTTAAAAGTACTCTGCAGTGCTCTGTTTTATGTGTTCCTACATTGATTCAACAAATATTTATTGAGCTGAAATGATGTTTGAATCCCTGCAAGTCTTACAGCTTTGCCTGGCATAGTGAATTTATATTTTGTATTCCCAGCCTTTCTTCCTTCTGGGAGCCTTTCTTTTCCCATTCTTCAATGATCCTGCCCTGTGCCTCAGACTTGGCTGAAGCTAACCTTACTCCCTGGCTCTAGGAATAGCCTGTGAGCCAGTCCTGGATCACCCTGGAATTGTTTTCAGAGGGATCAGGAAAGGCTCTCTGTTTTGATCTGGAACTGTGAGAGTCACATAATCATGGGACTGCTGATGGCCATCTTTGTCTCATACATGGAGAAAGCCAGCAAATAATGAATGCAACAAAGGACATAGCCAAGAGAATCAAAGATCTAGTAACACTGATTAGATGCCTAAAGCCAGTGCCCACCCTAGATGTTAGTTATGTGAGACAAATTCCTGTTGTTGTTTTGATTATGCCTGTTTGAGTTGGTTTTCTGACTTACAGTTAAAAGAGTTCTGTCCAAAAATTCAAAAGGCGGCCAGGTGCAGTAGCTCATGCCTGTAATCCCAGCACTTTGGGAGGCTGAGGCAGGCAGATCACTTGAGGTCAGGAGTTCAAGACCAGCCTGGCCAACATGGTAAAACCCTGTCTCTACTAAAATCACAAAATTAGCTGGGCATGGTGGCGCATGCCTGTAATCCCAGCTGCTCAGGAGGCTGAGGCAGGAGAATTGCTTGAACCTGGGAGGCATAGGTTGCAGTGAGTGGAGATCACACCACTGCACTCCAGCCTGGGAGACAGAGCGAGACCCTATCTCAAAAAAAAAAAAAAAGCCAAAAGGCCCTACAGCAAAACAGCAATAGACCCAGCAGCCAATCCTGTTTGAACTAACATCTAGTGTTTAACACTCAACATCAGACCTTGAATGATTAACTGAAAATGGAAGCTCCCATATTGGGGTTACTCAAGGTCCTTATTGATTCTTCAGCATTTTGTAGCTATAAATATTTTTAATCACAATTGTATTGAGACAGAAATCACAGACCATAAAATTCACCCACCTAAAGTATACAATTTAAAAGTTTTTAGGCCAGGTGCCAAAGACTCACAGCTGTAATCCCAGCATTTTTGGAGGTCAAGGCAGATGGATCACCTGAGGTCAGGAGTTTGAGACCAGCCTGGCCAACATGATGAAAACCCATCTCTACTAAAAATACAAAACTTAGCTGGGTTTGGTGGTGCACACCTGTAATCCCAGCTACTCGGGAGGCTGAGGCAGAACAATCACTTGAGGGAAGTGGAGGTTGCAGCGAGCTGACATGGTACCACTGCAATCCAGCCTGGACAACAGAGTAAGACTCTGTCTCAAAAGAAAAAAAATAAAGGAAATGTACCCCCTTTCAGTTCTGGAGGCTAGAAGTCCAAACAAGTGGTCAGTGGGGCTTCTATTCCCTCTAAAAGCTTTTGTGCAGGAGCCCCCAATCCCTGTGCCACAGACTGTTACTTGTTCATGACCTGTTGGGAACCAGGCCATACAGAAGGAGAAAAGTAGGGGGTGAGAAAGCTAAGTTTCACAAGCTAAGTTTCATCTATATTCACGGCTGCTCCCCATTGCTCATATTACTGCCTTAGCTCCACCTCCTGTCATACCAGCGGTGGCATTAGATTCTCATAGGAGCACGAATCCTATTGTGAACTGCACATGCAAGGGACTTGGTTGCACGCTCCTTATGAGAATCTAATGCCTGATGATCTGTCACTATCTCCCACACCCCCAGATGGGACTATCTAGTTGCATGAAAACAAGCCCAGGGCTCCCACTGATTCTACATTATGATGAGTTGTATAATTATTTCATCATATATTATGATGTAATAATAATGGAAATACAGTGCACAATACATGTAATGCACTTGAGTCATCCTAAAACTATCCACTTGTCTCCATCCCTGGACCCATGGAAAAACTGTCTTCTGTGAAACCAGTCCCTGGTGCCAAAAAGTCTGGGGACTGCTGCTTTAGGAAAGACTCCTTCATGCCTCCTCCTTAGCTTCTAGTGGCTCCTGGAAGTCCTTGGCAGCCCTTGGCTTGTGGCTGCATCACTTCAGTTTCTGCCTCTATCTTCACATGGCCTTCTTCCCTGTGTCTGTGTCTCACATGGCCTTCTTCCCTGTGTCTGTGTCTCGCATGGCCTTCCTCCCCGTGTCTGTCTTGTATGGCCTTCTTCCCTGTGTCTGTGTCTCGCATGGCCTTCTTCCCTGTGTCTGTGTCTCTCGTGGCCTTCCTCCCTGTGTCTGTGTCTCACGTGGCCTTCCTCCCTGTGTCTGTGTCTTGTATGGCCTTCTTCCCTGTGTCTGTGTCTCGCATGGCCTTCTTCCCTGTGTCTGTGTCTCGCATGGCCTTCTTCCCTGCGTCTGTGTCTCACATGGCCTTCTTCCCTGTGTCTGTATCTTCACATGGCCTACTTATAAGGACCCCAGTAACTGGATTTATGGTCTGCCCTAATCCAGTCTGATTTTATCTAACTAACTGTATCTTTGAAGACTCTATTTCCAACTAAAGTCACATTCTGAGGTTCCAGGTAGACATGAAGTTTTGGGGACACCACTCAACCCATTGCAGAACCCATTAGCAGTCACTTCCCATTCTTCAACTCCCCTGGCCCAGGGCAGTCATTACTCTACTTTCTGTCTCTTTGGATTTGTCTATTCTGAACATTTCATATAAATGCAATCATACAATATATGGTCTTTTGTGACTGGCTTCTTTTACTTAACATGTTTTCAAGATTCATCATGTTGTAGCATGAATCAGTACTTTATTCTTTATGGAATAAAAATAATCAGTTGTATGGTTATACATGTTTTGTTTATCCAGTCATCATTTGTTGGAATATGGGTTGTTTTCACTTTTTGGCTCTTGTAAATAGGGTTACTATGAACATTTGTATACAAGTTTTGTGGGAGCATATGTTCTTAATTTTTTTTTTTTTTTTTACTTACAGAAGTAATACATGTATGTCACAAGAAGTTATCCTTGAATTTTTTTCCATAAGAAATCATTTTAGATAGGAAAGAAAGAAGGCTGGGCACAGTGTCACCTGTAATCCTAGCACTTTGGGAGACCAAGGCAGGCAGATAGCTTGAGGCCAGGAGTTTGAGACCAGCCTGGCCAACATGGCAAAACCCCATCTATACTAAATATGCAAAAATTAGCTGGGCATGGTGTCACATGCCTGTAATCCCAGCTACTTGGGGGACTGAGACATGAGAATCACTTGAACCTGGGAGGCAGAGGGTGCTGTGAACTGAGATCTCGCCACTGTATTCCAACCAGGGTAACAAAGTGAGACTGTTTCAAAAAAAAAGAAGGCAATGACCAACATGTAGAAACTCCATCTCTACTAAAAATAGAAAATTACCCCAGCAGGTTGGCACATGCCTATAATCCCAGCTACTCAGGAGACTGAGGCAGAAGAATTACTTGAACCCGGAGGGAGAGGTTGCAGTGACCCAAGATTGTGCCATTGCACTCCAGCCTGGGCAAGAAGATCAAAACTCCGTCTCAAAAAGCGGGGGGGTTGCAAAAATATCAGTACCTGAAGGCCAGAGTCTCCAATATTCTGCTTTAATCAGTTCTTTTGCCTGACCCCAAATCTCACGTTATGATAGCAGTTAGGATACCTGGGCTGGCAGGAGCTTTTATCCAAAGGATGATGCATCTCTCTCCTCTATGAGACCTTACTTTAAAGGATAAAGACATATTAAAATGTAAAAGGATAATGTCTTTTTATTCCTAAATTTTATGGTAAATTTACACCCCCCCAAAAAAAACCCTAAATGTAAACAACAACAACAAATTTAGACTTCAGAATAGAGACTATTCTTGAAGGCTCCTTGAAGGCTCCGGGCATGGTGGCTCACACCTGTAATCCCAGCTCTTAGGGAGGCATAGGCGGGAGGATAGCTTGAGCCCAAGAGTTCAAGACCTGCCTGGGCAATATAGCAAGACCCGGTTCTCCACAAAAAGTTTAAAAAAAAAAAAAAAAAGGCAAAAAAAATAGAAAAACCCAAAGGCTAGGGACTAAAGGCAGCTTCGCTTTGGACTGTACCTGTTTTCTCAGGAGCTAAAAGTGGTGCTGAAACATCCAGCATCCTACATTTTATTTTAATCTCTTAAAACCCAAGTTTAAAATCTCATCTATGCCTTAAAATCACATCTCTGCAATCTTGGCAGGTGCTCAAATTTCATACATTTATAAAATATGTTTTTACTGTTTCTTTTTTATTTCTAACAGCAGGTGAAAGGATTTTTTATATTACTAATGTTTCTTAACCTATTTTTGGCTGATGACTGCTTCTAATTTTTAAATACATATTCTTTTTTGAACTTGTTACAGACATTTTTAAATAGTCACAAATGTAGATTAGCACAGCAGACTCCCATGAACCGTCATCCAAACTTAGCATACATCAGCTTTATTGCTGCTCGTTTGATCTATTGCCTCCTCCCCTCCAACATTTTTTTCTTTGACCATTTTTTTTTTTTTGAGACAGAGTTTCACTCTTGTTACCCAGGCTGGAGTGCAATGGCGCGATCTCTGCTCACCGCAACCTCCGCCTCCTGGGTTCAGGCAATTCTCCTGCCTCAGCCTCCTGAGTAGCTGGGATTACAGGCACGTGCCACCATGCCCAGCTAATTTTTGTATTTTGAGTAGAGACGGGGTTTCACCATGTTGACCAGGACGGTCTCGATCTCTTGACCTCGTGATCCACCCGCCTCGGCCTCCCAAAGTGCTGGGATTACAGGCGTGAGCCACCGCGCCAGGCCTTTCTTTGACCATTTAAAACAAATCCTAACCATCGTATTCTACCCAAGAGAATTAATATCCTTAATACCTAATATGTAGTGTGCTTAGTTTTCTCATGTTGTCTCAGAAATGTCTTTTGACTATTTATTTGTTCAAAATAAGATCCGAATAAGAGCCACACTGTGCATTTGATTGATAGGTTTTTTTTGTGTCTTTAAGTCTGTAACAGTTACCCTTTTTCTGTGTGGAAAGGTGGGGTTTTTGTCCTGTAGAATTTCCCACATTTTGTATTTCACTGCTTATTTCCTCCCAGTGTTGTTTAAAGGTTCCTGTCTCCCCAGTATTTCCTACAAATGTGCAGTTACACATAGCGGCTTGATTGGATTCAGGTGCAGTTGATCTGACACGACTACTTCCTGAGTGACTCTGCATCTTTGTTTTGCATCGTATGGAGAGGAAGGTAACATCTGGTGGTTCTACTTGCTGTGATTGAGCAGTGGGGATCTGTGGTATCAGTCTGGTCTTTTCTACTGTAAAGTAACCCACCACCCTTCCACCTGATGGTTCTAGCAGCCATGTCAGGGGTCCCTGAAACCACCCTTATGTTTGATGATTCATTAGATGGACTTACAGAACTCAGAAAAGCTCTGTTACACACATCATTTCTGTTTATTTTAGTGAAAAGATACAGAGTAAAATCAGCAAAAGAGAAGATGCATGCAAAGTACAGTGGAAAACAAAACACAAGCTTCTAGTTGTACCCTCGGTATGAACCTTGCGTGTTTGGTTCTTTGACATGGGAGAGGGACCTTGCTCACTTGGTGGAGAGATTGTTCCTCCCAGGGCTAGCCAATTCCTGGAAACAGAGTAAATGACTCACCTATGACTATTCCTTTCCTGTGTAAACCAACCAATCTGGAGCCCATTCCCCAACCTCTCCTTTACAGGGCGTCTCATACTCTGGGCCAATATCTCATACTCTGGGATATCCACCTGCCCTAATCACCCCAGGGCCAGATACCAGGAAGCTAGAGACAGCCCCTAGTCCCCAGAGCCTGCTGAAATTTTTCAAACTCACCAGTCTGCTTACTCGGCCTTGCCACTTCCTTCCCATGGAGATCACAAGGCTCTTATTCCTCTTTATCCCCTCATTCCCTCTGCCTCCTCACTGACCCTGGGCTTCCCAGTGTAGCTCCCTGTGGCATGCCGTGCCCCTCCTGGATCTGTGAGTATAACAAGTTTTTTCTTGTCAATGGCAGTCACCTGATCTTAAAACCTTTATTTTTATACTTTTTAGAGACAGGTGTGTCTTGCTGTATTGCCCAGGCTGGTCTCGAATGCTTGAGTCAAACGATCTTCCCACCTTGGCCTCCCACAGTGCTGAGATTACAGGTATGAGCCACCACATTGGGCCACCCAAAGCCTATATTTTAAAACATTCCTCCAACGGTGTTGCACAGACAGCACTAAATCCTCCCAGCAATGATGTATGGTAGTACATGCCAGGTGTTGCCAATTATAGAAGCTCACCCTTGGATGCTGCTAACATCCCATGATGCACGGGACAACTGCCCCATCCCCACCCCCACTCTCTGCAAAGAATTATCTGGCTCAAAATGTCAATCATGCTGAGGTTGAGAAACCCTGCTTCTAACAATTATGTTTTAAAGTCACTTGAAATAGTTCTTCTCAGGGCCGGGCACAGTGGCTCACGCCTGTAATCCCAGCACTTTGGGAGGCCGAGGCGGGTGGGTCACGAGGTCAAGAGATTGAGACCATCCTGGTCAACATGGTGAAACTCCGTCTCTACTAAAAATACAGAATTAGCTGGGCATGGTGGCACGTGCCTGTAGTCCCAGCTACTCAGGAGGCTGAGGGAGGAGAATTGCCTGAACACAGGAGGCGGAGGTTGCGATGAGCCAAGATCGCGCCATTGCACTCCAGCCTGGGTAACAAGAGCGAAACTCCGTCTCAAAAAAGAAAAAAAAAGTAGTTCTTCTCTAGTTATTGCTCCAAATCTATACATAATTTTAGTTTACTTTCCGTTTTTAGGGATGCTTTTTTTAAATTATGTAAAATGACTATGTAATTCCAAAGTTGAAACTAGTTTGGTTTTGTTTGTTTTTTAGAAAATAGAGACAGGGTCTCAGTATGTTGGCCAGGTTGGTCTTTAATTCCTGACCTCAAACAATCCTTCTACCTTAGCCTCCCAAAGTGCTAGGATTATAGGCATGAGCCACCACGCCTGGCTAGAACTAGTTTTCTTTGAAGAAAGGTACATTCAGAGAGGTCTTTCATCCTTGTCCCCTCCCTGGTTTTTTCCATCCCTCTAGCAGTAGCCATTTTTATTAGTTGTTGGCATATTATATATACAACAATTTGTATTTTTGCCACTGTATCTTTTGGATAGTCTTAGAAATAGGATTGTTGGGTCAAAGATTAAATAAATGTATAATTTTGCTTGATTTAAATATATCTTCTAATTTCTATTTCTAAATACAATCAATGCAAAGAAAGCAAAGCACAGAACAGCACTACAGCATGCCATTTCTATTGAAAAAGCATGAAAGAGGCCAGGCACGGTGGCTCACGCCTATAATCCCAGCACTTTGGGAGGCCGAGGCAGGCAGATCACCTGAGGTCAGGAGTTCAAGACCATCCTGACCAACATGGAGAAACTCTGTCTCTACTAAAAATACAAAATTAGCCAGGCATGGTGGCACATGCCTGTAATCCCAGCTACTCGGGAGGCTGAGGCAGGAGAATCGTTTGAACCCAGCAGGCAGAGGTTGTGGTGAGCTGAGATCGTGCTGTCGCACTCCAGCCTAGGCAACAAGAGCCAAGACTCCGTCTCAAAAAAAAAAAAAAAAAATGAAAGATATGTAACTTTTCACTTGTGTATGCTGAAGTATCTTCAAATAGACTTACAAGCAAACCAGTCATCAAACAGGAAAAAGGATGGCTGAGGTCTAAGGAGTGTGAGGGAGATTTTTAGTGAATACCATTTTAAAATTTTGAACCACGTTAATATAGGTCTATCTTTTAAATAAATTTTTTAAGTGAAATGAAAATTAATGGAAAAAGTTTTCTCTATTTTAAACGGCATTATCACCAGAAAACACGTAGAGGCGATGTTGTTTAGGGACGAGGAAGCTCTCACAAGGCTGCTTGAGGCTGCGCTGCACTTAATTTCACACAATTACTGTCTTCTGGAATTTGGCTCTTTCAGGGAAGTTTATACTTTCAGCAGCATTGCTCCTTATTCTGTGTCCACACGTGGGTTCTAATGTTATGAGTGTGTGCATAATTTGTATTTTTTTCATAATTTTCAAAACTTGGCTAGATTTAAATAATTGTGTGTATAGATTTCATGTGGTCATTTCTGCGTTTGGTTAAATGCCTTGTTTTATGGAGTTTATCAGCGCCAAGCATGAGCTCACTGTCTGGGGAAACAAGGCTGCTATGGAGATAATGACCAACCCTGGCTGCCAGTGCCTCTGGTTGGAAGAAATGCAGGCCCTGTCTGATTTGGTAGTGTCTATGGCTGGGGAAAAGCTGCCTCCACCTGGACCTTGGCAAGACTTTTTGGATTTAGGACAGTGTGCTGAGCAAGCCTTAGCCAAAATTTTCCAGCTCCTAAAACCCAGCTCCCTTCCTGGCTAGTTAAATGGCTTTGGACAGTATTATCTTTTAACTGCGACTGCTTAGTGAGGTGGTGTCTGGGAAAGCCAGAGGAGCTGTTAAAATAAGTCCCACTGCAGCAGAAAGGCTATTGAAACCAGGAGACAGCTTCCAACTGGAAAGATACTTAGTATATAAGTGCTTACTTTCAAGGGCTCAAGCAGTTCTTTCCATAGGCAGCTATCCTGAAGGAATGGTTAGATACAGAGACAACCAAGGAGGCAGATATTTTAGACAAAACACATTTATTTTCCAGAAAGTGTAGTATTTTAATACCCCATATTGAAGAATCATCACTGGCCTTCACATCCTATAAACGTGAATCCTTTTAAACCTAAACGTGTCTGTACTGGTGCAGAGACTGACTTGCTGTAACACTGTCCAGATGAATCCAAAATAGATCTTTGTACCTGTGGTCCAAAAGTGGTAGGAAAATTCTGTAAAGATCTAAGGGCTGCAGGCAAAGTTGTTTGAATTCAATTTTTATTTTTTAAAACTGGGGACCCAAAATGAATTAAAAGGGATATCAGATGAGTGGTTGTTGCCTGACGTGGTGGGGGAGAGGAAGCAGGCGGTTGAGTAGAAAGAAGAACAGGAGCACCTCTGGGCAATGGAAGCTTCCAGTGTTTTGATTGGAGTGTTAATTGTATTGGTATAAACAATTTGTTCAAATTAAGTCTGCACGTAAAGTTCGTGTACTTTATGTAATTATACCTCAGTTTTAAAACGTAAAGAAGCAAAAACATGGTCCTTATTACTTGGTGTAGTAGAATAAAAGTGGGCTTAGATACTCAAGCAATTGTTTCCTAGTACCAGTTCTGCCACTAACGTCTATGTGGATATGGGGAACGTATTTAACATCTACTTATAACCTCTCATCTGTCCTACAAAATTAGATCATCACATTTAGGATGCTCAATTTTTTTCAACTGTTATGAGGTAGAATTGTCATAAAAATTATTAATTGGATAGATAATACAAAGAGAAATTTTCTCTAGGAAACTGCCCATTAATGCTGTGACTACATATGGCCTCAGTCATGTTGGTGACAAGGGAGGGATAGAAATAACTTTTGTCTCAATCTAGTAACCTGGGCTCTGAATTTTGGTGTAGATTTTTTGCCCCTCATTCATATGAGCCAGTCGGGTTAGGCATCGGCTTTTAGAACAAGTCTGTCTGGCACTCCTTTTCAGTGACCAAAGGCAGGAAAATGTCTGTGTGGGAGGAAAGGGAGTGGCCGAAAGTCACTCCAAGTGGGGACCCAGGCTGCCAAATGTTGGTCTCCAGCACATGTTCCCTGTACTTGGGCTCAGCTCCCGAAGAGGAAGAGCTCACAATGGAAACAGTGATGGCTGTTTGCTCAGGCAGCCAAGAGAATGAAAAGCACATTGAAACTCAGCAGTGTCTCCACAGGAGAGGTGCGGTGCAACCAACCTGACAACAGAGCAGGATCACAGAGCCCTTTCCCAGCATCTTTCTTCAGTTCAACAACAAGACCTTTCTATGCAACCTCTCAAGAAATCTCTGGGAAACGATACTGTGGTCAGTATTACTAAGCTTTACCCAACAATAGAGGCACACTCAGTCCAGTTCACCCATTTGCTCTGAATTCGATTTTGTTGATTGAAAGAAAAGAGCTTTTCTAAATGTAAGTGTCAGGACCTGCATCCCCTGACCCAAGGTTTCATCAACTTCCCTGTTTATTGCTGCCTCTTGTGAACCATTTTGACCTCCAGTGAATGCCTTTTCAGTTGGCATTTTCATGCTGTACTTTTGTTACTCAGCTTACCTAGTGCCACTGTGAATGTCCTTCTGTACTAACAGTCAGTAATTGCTGGGCTGTGAAGCCAGCTGACAGTGGGAGAAAGCAGCCTTGGGGTGATGGAGTGGCAAGGGCAGTTTAAACCGGCTCCAATGACAGTGCTCACTCACCTGTGCTAAAGCAGGTAGGTGGTGTAGCCTGGCTCTGTGCCTCCCTCATGAAAGATGAGAGCTACTATGGTCTGAATGTTTGTGTCTCCCACCAGATTCCTATGTTGAAATCCTAACTTCCAAAATTATGGTGTTAGAAGTAGGGTCTTTGAGAGGTGATTGGGTTTTAGGAGCAGATAGCTGGGCACAGTGGCTTACACCTATAATCTCGCACTTCGGCAGGCTAAGGCATGCAGATTACAAGGTCAGGACTTCAAAACCAGCCTGGCCAACACGGTGAAACCCCATCTCTACTCAAGATACAAAAAATTAGCTGAGCGTGGTGGCACATGCCTGTAATCCCAGCTACTCAGGAGGCTGAGGCAGGAGAATCACTTGAACCCAGGAGGCAGAGGTTGCAGTGAGCTGAGATCATGCCATTGTACTCCAGCCTGGGCAACAGGGCAAGACTCAGTCTCAGAAGGAAAAAAAAACAAAACAGAGCCCTAACCTCATGAATGGGATTAGTGTCCTTATCAAAGAGACTCCGGAAATTCCTTACCTCCTGCACCATGTGAGGACACAATAAGAAGCTGGCTGCCTATAAACCAGGAATTGGGCTCTGACCAGACACCAAATCACACCCGGATCTTGGATTTCCCAACCTCCAGAACGGTAAGAAAGCTGTGCTGTTTATTAACCATTTAGTCTATGATATTTTGTTACAGCAGCCTAAGCAGACTTAGACAGTGGCCTATGTGGCTTAGCATTTTGCTTGCATTCACTTTGAGGGAATTATTTTCTAAAATAAATAGGCTGGGCATGGTGGCTCACGCCTGTAATCCTAGCCTTTTGGGAAGCCAAGGCAGGCAGATAGCTTAAAGTCAGGAGTTCGAGACAGCCTGGCAAACATGGTGAAACTATGCCTCTATTAAAAATATAAAAATTAGCTGGATGTGGTGGCAGGCACATGTAATCCCAGCTACTCAGGAAGTTGAGACAGGAGAATCTCTTGAACCCAGGAGGCAGAGGTGGCAGTGAGCCAAGATTGTGCCATTGCACTCTAGCCTGGGCAAGAAGGGCAAAACTCTTGTCTCTAAAATAAAATAATAAAATAGTCTAGGCAAGGCACAGTAGCTCTTGCCTATAATCCCAGCACTTTGGGAGGCTGAGGTGGGTAGATCACCTGAGGTCAGGAGTTCTAGACCAGCCTGTCTCTACTAAAAATACAAAAATTAGCTGGGTATGGTGGCGCACCCCTGTAATACTAACTACTCAGGAGTCTGAGGCATGAGAATGGCTTGAACCTGAGAGGCGGGGGTTGCAGTGAGCCAAGATCATGCTACTGCCCTCCAGCCTGGATGCCTGAATGGCAGAGAGAGCCTCTATCCAAAAAAAATAAACATAAAAAATATTAAAACTAGCTGGGCAGGGTGGCTTGCACCTATAATCCCAGCTACTTGGGAGGCTGAGTCAGGAGAATCATTTGAACCCGGGAGCCGGAGGTTGCAGTGAGCCAAGATTGCACCACTGCACTCCAAGCTGAGAGACACAGCAAGACAGTGTCTGAAAAATAAATAAATATATATATATAAACGATAGTGTGTAAACTATGGTGCAATGGTCACAAACCAAGTATTTTCAGGAGTAGGAAACTTAAGGCAGGTGGAATGAACTGGAACCATTTTTGTTCTTGCTAATTATTGCTAGATCCTCAGAATTTTTTCAGGAGAATAAAGAAAATTAGATATTTATGTACATGTCTGTGGACCACATTCAAACACAGGCCTTCAATTCTCACTGTCTGGATTAGCAAAATAAAGATGGGTTTTGGCATTACACAGAAGTATGAATTTTGGCGCCAGGATGTGATGGTTGGTAGGTAACTTTATTCCCAAACTGTCAGTGTCCTCACCTTTGAAATGAGGGCAGCTTCACCCACTTGGCAGTGGGTTGCGATAGGTATAGGAGGGCTGTCTACCACACATGCAGTGACTAGCACTTAGGAAACTCCAGCTGAGGTCTCTCTGCCAACTCCTAAATGACTCCTTCCAATTTGCTAGTACCAATTCCCAGAGCTTTTGCTAATAACGTGACTGTCCTCAGGAGAAGCCCATTGAGCGGATGTTTGTGGAGTGTCTTGCCATGCTCCAGGTGTGTGTACACGTGTTTGCCTCCTCCGCCCCATCCTACAACTGGAAGCAACAGCCTATCTCCAGGTGAAGGAACAAAGCTGTCAGTCACAGAAGTATATGTTCTCCTACCTAACCTTTGTGGCTTTGCCTCCTCAGTGTCAGCCACCAGGACTGATTTTAGGTGTGTTACACCATTCTTGCATTGCTATAAAGAAATAGTTGACTGGGTAATTTATAAGAAAAGATATTTGGCTGGGTGCGGTGGTTCACACCTGTAATTCCAGAACTTTGGGAGGCCTAGGGGAGGTGGATCACTTGAGGTCAGGAGTTAGAGACCAGCCTGACCAACATGGTGAAACCCCATCTCTACTAAAAATACAAGAAAAAAAAATCAGCCAGGCATGGTGGTGGGCACCTGTAATCCCAGTTTCTAGGGAGGCTAAAGCAGGAGAATCACTTAAACCTGGGAGGTGGAGGTTCCAGTGAGCTGAGATCTTGCCACTGCACTCCAGCCTGGGTGACAGAGCAAAACTCCATCTCAAAAAAAAAGAAAGGAAGAAAAGATGTTTAGTTGGCTCACAGTTCTGTAGGCTGTATAGGAAACAGTGCTATCATCTGCTTCTGGAGAGGCCTCAGGACGCTTTACTCATGATGGAAGGTGTAGCAGGAGCAGGCAATGAAGCAGAAGCAAGAGAGAGTCTTGCTCTCTCTTGGGAGGTGCCACACACTTTGAAATGACCAGTTATCGTGAGAACTCACCGTCACGTAGACAGTACCAAGTCATGAGGGATCTATCCCATGATCTGAACACCTCCCACTAGACCTCACCTCCAGTATTTTGGATTACAATTCAACATGAGATTTAGGCAGGGATAAATATCCAAACTTTAAGAAATAAAGACAAAAAAGGGAATCAGTTAAACATTTTAAGGCTTTCCTTTTTTCCATTTAATGAAGAATGAGTCTTTTGAGAATAAGAACATTTATGTTGCCTCCTTCCAAATTCTCCTTGAAAGAGATCCTTTGGCCACCTTTGGGATTGCACAAGCCTGCCTCATGCCCTCTTTGTGGCCAGTGTGTTTCAGCTACTACTGCAAAATTAAGATGTATCAGTGCTTGTTAAGTAGGCTCTCATTCATATGCCTCCTGGATGCCATCAGTGTGCCAGGCATTTTGCTCTGCACCTGGGATATAAGGGAAAGTCCTCATGTTGCTCCTAACTAAAGGAAGATGGGCAAATGACTTCCTAGTGGAAGAACACAGTGCGAGGATGCCTGTGACAAAGGTCTAATACTCAGCCTTGGAGAAGGGTGCAGGGCTCTTAGGAAAGAACTGGTGAAGGGACAGCAAGCAAAAAGAGTTGGGGTACAAGTGGGGACAGTTTAGATGGAAGGGTATTTGCAGTAGAGAAACATCATAATCAAAAGCTAGAGGTGAAAGCACAGGATGGCTGGGCTGGCAAAGTATGGGAGATGCAGCTGAGGCTGAAGGACATAGCAGAGAGGACTCTGAGTGCCCTGCAAAGGAGAACAGTTTATCCTGACCACTCTGCACTTCAGGAATTTTGAGAGATGGGTGGAAAAGAAAACAAAAGAAAAAAAAAAAGAGAGAGATGGGTAGTAAGATGGAAGTTACATTTTAGAAAAGTAACTCTTCTCCGTAGCAAGGAGAACAGATTGCAGGAGCAGGGACAGAGGTGAAGAGACCGTAGTTGGGGGGTTACTGTAGTAACTTCAATAGAAATGATGA